GAAGCGGCGGCGGCGGGGGGGACACTCGGGCTCTCCACGGCCATAGGGCAAAAGGGCGGGTGAGGGGCGAACAGGAAGGGGGGTGGCACAGTCACTGTACAGCGCGGGGGTCGGCTCCGGCCCGGCACGGCCCGGCTTTATCCGCCCGCCCGCCTCCGCGCTCCACGGGCAGGCACACAAAATGGCGCCCGCCGGCACGCAGCCGCGCCGAGGCAGCGCCCCGCACAACGCCGGAGACAGCCGAACGGTGGCGGAAATACCCGAGGGATGCCGTAAGTAACTGAACGGCAGCGGAAACGCCCGAACGACGCCGGAGAAACCCGAGCGATGCCGGGAATACACGAGCGATGGCAGAAACACCCTAGCGCCCCCCCGCCGTACCTCAGCCGGTGATTGCCGAAAGTGACCGGCAGATGGCGGGAAGGACCGAAAAGTGCCGAGGAGGTGCGGCGAGGACGAGTCCACTTTGGGAGGAGGGGGGGGTTGTGCCACTGAGCGGTCCCCATGCTGGGAGACGCGGCCTCATGCTACTGTGAGGAGACAAAACGTGAGGAGAAGCCACTCGGTGTGGTTCTCCCGTGGGCAAGTGGGCGTGGGGCGGCGGGTGAGCTCCGGGCAGTGGGGCGGATCCCCCCCACGCTCCGCCGTGGAAGTGGAGCGGTCCCGGGCGCCATGTTCGCGCGGGCCGCTAGGGGGCGTCGCGCCGGCTCTGAGGCGGCGGCGGCAGCGGGATGGTGGAGAAGGAGGAGGGCGGCCCTGGCGGCATCAGCGAAGAGGAGGCAGCACAGTATGACCGGCAGATCCGGCTGTGGGGGCTTGAGGCCCAGAAGCGGTCAGTGGGGGTCGGAGCCTGTGGGAGAAGGCGGAGGGGGACCCTGTGGAGGAGGGCCCTGGAGGGGTCGGGGGGGGAGGGTCTTCTTGGGGCCCTGCGGCCTGTGAGGGACCCTCAAGGAGCTTGTGGGGGGCCTGGAGGGGCTCTGTGATATGAGTGGGGCCTTGGACGAGCTTGTGGGGGGCCTGGAGGGGCTCTGTGATATGAGTGGGGCCTTGGACGAGCTTGTGGGGGGCCTGGAGGGGCTCTGTGATGTGAGTGAGGCTTTGGAGAAGCTTATAGGAGGCTCTATAATCTCTTGGAGGGGGTGCTACAATGTGGGGTGGAGCCTATAGGAGCTTTTGGGGGGCCTATAGGAGCTTGGAGTGGCTTATAAAGAGTCGGGAGGGCCCTGTAGGGGCTCATGGGGGCCCTATGGCCTGTGGGAGACCCTGTAGAGGCTTTGCAATGTAAGGGGGGGGGGCTTGGAAGGGCTTATGGGGGCCCTGCAATGTGAGGGGGACCCTATAAGGCGCCTGGATGGGAGGGTCTTTTGAGAGGTTATAGGGGCCTTGGAGGAGTTTTTTGGGGGCCCTATAGGCACCTGGAGTGGCTCTGCAATGTGAGGGGGGGCCTTGTGGGGGCCCTATAGGAATTTGTGGGGGGCCTACAGGGACCCTATAGTGTGTGGGAAGGCCCTGTAGGGGCTTGTCAGGGTCTGTGGGGTCTCTGCCTGACCCTATGCACACCTCAGGCTCAGCCAAACTCATTTGGGTGAAATTTCTTTGGGGAAAAAAAAAGAGAAACGGCTTCTGATTCATTGCCAACTGGAATTGCAAAGCATCCCATCCCCTCCGCTGGTTCCTGCCTCTTTCCCCGCTGGAAACCCACTCGCTCAACGCTTATTTTCTCAAGAAAGAAGTTTTTTTTTCAGCTTTCAAGTTACTTTGTGTGGTCTTTTTCTGCAGCCTGTCCAGATTTCTGCTCATTTCCAATTTCTTAGGTGTTTCCCTGGAAGCTGTGATGGGGTTTGTTCAGGACAAGGTGGAACACCCCCAAAATATGAAGGTGGAACTTCAAAATATGAAGATGAGCATAATGCTGATGCTGAACGCAGATAAAAATGAGCATGAAAATAGGCAAAAAAAGCAGGAGTCTCTGTGTTTAAGAGCCCAGATTATTGCTCGGTGCCAAGTAAACTTGATTTTATTGGAAAACCAATACAGACTGATCAATGACAGACTCATAAGGCAGGAGAAAAAATACCTAAATGATAAAAGGCGAGGAAAACACATTGGTCAGTTATGTGGAAAACTTACAACTTGCTTGCACGGTTTTGTGCTGGAATGGATATACACAAAAATGTATTAGTTGCCTGTTAATTATAACTTATCCTCATCCTGGTGCAGCTTTAGCCTTCAGCCCTTTTTTGGGGGGGCTCTTAGGGACCCCATTGTGGATTGCGATGAACCTGCAGCCTCCTCCACCCCCTTGGCTGAAAAGCAGCACGAGGCTGGGGTGTTACTCCCTCTTCCAAAACTCCTTTTTTTCTGTGAATTTTCCCCAATTCCCCACTCCTCACAGCCTCGCCGTGTCTCTCTTTGCTCCCAAATTGTGTTAAACCTGCTTTTCCCCATGCTGGGATGTGGAGGGGCACGGATTTCCTCTCTAGCCATATTTATCCACCATGTTTTCCATCCGAGTGCCGATTCCCCTTCGCCCCAACCTCTTGGGGGATGCTCTGGGTGATCTCTTAACCTTTTCCTAGTGTTTTTGCTGCAGGTTACGAGCTTCCCGGGTGCTGCTGGTGGGGATGAAGGGGCTGGGAGCCGAAGTGGCCAAGAATCTCATCTTGGCAGGAGTCAAAGGCTTAACCATGTTGGACCATCAGCAGGTGAGGAGCCGGGTGAAGCCCCCAAACCGAAGGACTTGCTCACTGTTTTTTCAGGGGATAAATATTCCCTTTGGGGTGGAATTATGCCATTTTGGGGCATACAGGGTTTGCAGGTCTGCGCTCCTTCAGCTGCTCTCGAGCTGGGGGCTGAACTGTGACCTCCCCTGTCCCTTTCTGGATGTCTTGGGGGGGCTGCACCCCATTCTGTGAAGCCACCTGATTTTTGGGGACACTTGTCTTGGGCATTGACACCTGTCCCCTCCGTGTCCCTGGTTTCTGCCCCTTCTCCTTTTCACATGGGACCAGCAGGTGCCTGGAAAGCAAATGTGGGGCTCAAAATCCACAAACCTTGTGAGTTCTGGAGCCCCAAACCAGACCCCTCAGTGGGTTTTAATTCCCAATGGGGGGGCTTAATTCCCAGTGGGAGATTTAATTCCTGATTTGGAGCTTTGTGCTCCACAGAAAAACCCCTTTCTCCAGCAGAGGTGGCCTCTGGGTGACAGTGCGGCGGCACAAGAGGGAGCTGTGAGTGTGGGATCAGGGAGAAGTGATGATGGAACCATGGGGGGGCTTGAAGAACAGCACAAAATAACCAGAAATTTGCAGTTTTGGGGGCTTTTTCTTTTTTTCCTCCAGTATCTCATGATGAGTTTTTCCTGCGGTGAGGATGGTGCCAGTGTAATTCTCTTCTGGGGGGGGAGAGGGGGGTTTTCCCTCTGTGGCAAGACTGATTTCTCCCCGTTTTTAGGTTTCCCAGGAGGACACTCGAGCTCAGTTCCTCATCCCAGGGGGTTCCTTGGGTCGCAACCGAGCCCAGGCTTCCCTGGAGCGGGCGCAGAACCTCAACCCCATGGTGGACGTCAAAGCCGACCCCGAGAGCGTGGAGAGCAAACCCGAGGAGTTCTTCACCCAATTCGACGCCGTACGTGGGGGTTAGGGGGGGGAAAGGTCAGTGTGGGGCCTTGCTAACGAGCCTTTGCACTAATTACTCGTTTATTCTGGTGGTGTTAGCACTGAGAGCCTGTTGTGGGTGAGATTTCATGCTGTGGTTCCAGGTGGTGCCGCCTGATTCTTCATGAAGGGTGGCTGTTTCCCTTTTCCTCTCCTCCTTGGGGCTGGTTTTTTGGGGATTGTGAGTTGTGGAAACCAGTTTCCCCCATTCAACCGGATGGTGGAAAAAAAAACCAACCCAAAAAACATGGTGGAAAAAAAAGCAACCCAAAAAACATGGTGGAAAAAAAAAAAACAACCCAAAAAACAACCCAACAGCGATTCCCAAAGCGAGAGGAAAAGGAGGAAAACCACCTCCAGGTCTCATAGCTCCTGGAGATCAGGGGCAGAACAGAAAGCACCAATTCTTAGACCAGGTTTTAGAAGTAACCGGATTTAGCTTTGATTTCCACCTAAATTGGCCAGAAACAGGATGTTTTATCCCCTGTTGAAATGGGGTAATTAGTGATTTTCCCCTCCCCTAAGTGCTAGGAGTGAAACTGCCAATTCTGGGGGGTGGGGGGTGGGGATGTTACCCCTCAGGGAGGGAAAAATGCTGAATTTTCCGCCCCCCAGGTGTGTTTAACCTCCTGCTCCCGTGACCTGATGGTGAAAATCGACCAGATTTGCCACAAAAACAGCATCAAGTTCTTCACCGGCGACGTTTTTGGATACCACGGTTACATGTTTGCCGACCTGGGGGAACACGAATTCGTGGAGTGAGTCAGCACCCGGAGGAGTGGGGGAAACTGGTGCTACTGGTTTGCTTTGGGGAAGGTTTAAATCTTAAATAAATCTGTAAATTGTGAAAGAAAAAAAAAAAATCCCCAAAAACCAAACCCGTGGCACCAGCAGGGGTTCTCAAAGCTCTTTCTTTTTAATTTCCTAGAGAGAAAACCAAAGTCACCAAAGTCACCCCGGGGCTGGAGGATGGGCCAGACACCAAAAAAGCCAAACTGGACTCGGCGGAGACCACCATGGTGAAAAAAGTGAGTGGGGGAAAAAACCCCAGGGAGACCCAAAACCCCAGGGGATTCCCCAAATCCCAAGCATGGGGGGAATTTTTTGGCCTCTCCCAGCTGGATCCCTCGCCCCACAGCGCTTTTTTTGAGCCAGGTCATCCTAGAAAGGGATTTTTTGGGTTGGTTTTATTCTCTTTTCTCTCTTCCCATACTGGTTTTATACTGGTTATGGTGTGGGAAGGGGCATTAAATCAGCCTTTATGGCTCTTTTTGTGGCCACCAGGCCCTAAAAGCCATGGTTTCGGTGCTGCTAGCTGAGAGCCCAGCTCCTTTGAAGTGGGGATTCCCAAATTTTTTCCAGGGGGGGTGGCCAAATCTGCTCCAAAACAGAACCTTTTCAGATGGAAATGCCTCCGGCCCTGCCATTGTTCAGGAGCGGAATTCCCCCAGGGTTTTCTCTGCCTGCAAGGGGAATTCGAGGCCTTTTGTGATCCTTTTTGCCCCCCTCCTCCCCCCCCCCCCCCACCCCTTCTGGGCGCGCGTTCCC